GGTGTATACCGTAGATTTACATGGCGGATTCATGTTCCACAATACATGTGTTTGACCGAGATCTGTTTTTAGCAGGCTTGGGAACTATGGGTGAAGGACGTTCAGCTGGAGGACGCGGGCCAGTACGAGTGCCAGCTAACCACACACCCTCCAGTCTCGTTCTTCTTCACTCTCACCGTAACACGTAAGAATCACCCAATCAACTGACGTCACTGTGATAAATGTACAAAAAGAAAGCAAGAAAGAAAAAAAATATTCATGTATCGAATTGATTCATTTGGCAATGTCAGATATGTAATTACCTCAGTGTGCCTTAAGAGAATATGAATACCTGCGTTTCAACAGAGATATCAAATAGATATCTTGACTTTTGTATTCAAACAAATTCACACAATAAACACCATTTCACGTAATACGCAAATACCCAGGAAAGAAATACAAGCTTGCATGCTATTGATTTGCTTGTGTTATTGCATCATCAAAATGTAGGATAAACACATTTTTTTTTTTACATCGATTATTGACTTCTAGTGTGGTTGGATTCAGCATTTTTTTTCCAGAGGACAATAAAAAAATGTAATAGCTATGACATTGTTTAATTAACTATAATAGATTTGAAGTGCGATATGTGAATGTCAATTAAACAATTACTGTCTGTGGGGAAACGAGGTTTTCATAAATTGTTTATATATATTTAGATGCAAAGTACCAAAATTTTGTTTAAAACCAAACGGTCAATCCTTAATTTTCATTTTGGGATCACCGCTCTAATGGGAGCTATTCCGACAAAACTGGAAACCTCGTTTTTTTTTTTTTTTTTTTTTTTTTTTTTTTTTTTTTTTGAATGATTGTTCGTGAAAAATACACTGAATCCTAAAATCAGAAACCATAGATTAATAATGAGATTGATGGACAGAATGACGGAAAGTCAGGCAGATAGGCAGGCAGGCAGGTAGGCAGGCAGGCAGGCAGACGGACAAACAGACAGACAGACAGAAGAAAACAACAACAGACAGACAGAGAAAAAACATGGACAGACAGACAGACAAAGACGAGGCCGGATCCCCCCTTCCCCCCCTCAAGGACAGCGATAACAAGGCAAAGCAATCAGTTCAAATGGGCCAATCTCTCTCAGAAAACGAGGCAGTTGTGGTCGCCGCTTTCGATGGCATTCGAACCGAAGAAGGATCCCTTGTCAACATTACCGTTAGTCCCTCTCCTCCTCTTCCCTTTGACCTCTCCCTCCCCCCTCCCTTTTTTTTCCCTCCCTGTTGATTCCTTCCCCTTATTCCTCCCCTCCCTTCTCCATTGGGATTCTTAGTAATCTACTACTTGAAGTTTCTTCTTCTTTCTTCGTCTCTCTCCTTGACCTCTCTCTCTTATTCTCTTTCCATCTTTGACCTCCTCCTTTCCTCCTTCTCCCCTTGCCTTATCCCTCTTTGAACACTCCCCTCCCCTCCCCACCTCCCTTTCCCTTCCCCTCCCCACCTCTCCCATTCCCCTCCCTTCCCCTCCCCACCTCTCCCATCCCCCCCCCCTTTGACCTGTCCGTCTACCCCCTCTCCCCCTTTTGACCCCCCCCCCCCACTTCCCCTCGGCCCTTGTGCTATGGACATGACTTTCTACGTCAGTATAGGATATAATCCTAATGCGCTGGATATACGTAACGCGTAGATGTTGTTCCTGACAGCAGATAAGATTTGCATTCGGATTTTTATTGGTCCTAGATCATATATACATTAATGTGTTTTGTCAATATCTCGTCATTTTGTGATAGTCGATATCTCACCTGATTTATTTATATATTTTGTGTATTTGTTTGCATTGGATAAGAATTAGAATCGTCTGGTGTTAAAATAGTAAGGTATTTTGATACAAAAACTCGGATATAAATAAACACAGACATAATGCGTTCACACATTCTCACCTCCCTCCCTCCTTCCCTCCTTTACTCCCTCACTCTCTCCCTCTTTCTCTCTCTCTCTCTCTCTCTCTCTCTCTCTCTCTCTCTCTCTCTCTCTCTCTCTCTCTCTTCCTCCCTTCCTCCCTCTCTCTCTCTTTCAAGCACCCCCACCCCCACCAACAGACGCTGTCTCTCCCTACCTTCTTTCTCACCAAATGACGCTCTCTCTCCCTTTCTCCCTCCTTCCTTTTCTCCTTTTCCCCCATCCTTCTATCGAGCACCTACCTTCTCCCTCCCTATCTCGCCAACTGACACTCTCTCTCCCTCATACCGCCAACAGACGCTCTCTCTCTCTCCCTTCCTCCTTCTCTCCCTCACCAATTGACGCTCTCTCTCCCTCGTACCACCAACAAAAGCTCTCTTTCTCTCCTTTCCTCCCTCCCTCCCTCACCAACTGACGCTCTCTCTCCCTCACACCACCAACAAACGCTCTTTCTCTCTCCCTTCCTCCCTCACCAACTCCCTTCCTCCTTCTCTCCCTCACTAACTAACGCTCTCTCTCTCCCTCGTACCACCAACAAAAGCTCTCTTTCTCTCCCTTCCTCACTCACCAACTGACGCTCTCTCTCCCTCACACCACCAACAAACGCTCTTTCTCTCTCCCTTCCTCCCTCACCAACTCCCTTTCCTCCTTCTCTCCCTCACTAACTGACGCTCTTACTCCCTCACACCACCAAAAGACGCCCTCCCTCCCTCACCAACTGACGCTCTCTCTCCCTCACACCACCAACAGGCGCTCTCTCTCTCTCTTCCTCCTTCTCTCCCTCACCAACTAACGCTCTCTCTCTCCCTCACCCTCCAACATCAGAGGCCGAGGCTGTCATCAGTGGTCCCGGCGTGGTCCACATCGAGGAAGGGTCCCACTTGGCCTTCGAGTGCCACGTCCGCTATGCCCCAGTCCCCCCCGTGTACATCTTCTGGTATCATAACGGTACCATGGTTAACTATGGTACTCAGAGGGCTTTACAGGTACGTTCAAAATTGGGTCATTGAAGTGGTTTCCGTTCGTTTTTTTTTTCCTCTTTTGTTTAATGATTTTGATTATTATTAATTTGATTATATTGATTGAGGATGTTATCGAATATGTAAAGAGTGTGTCGGTCTGTTTACGAGTATCTTATCTTTGTTTGTATAAAGATTTTTTTGCGCTGTGGTGATAACTGTCGTTCTTACTGATTAGACTGTAAGTTACAATTACTGAAGAAGGTTATAATCTATTATACTACTGGAGTATATTTATAGTATCAATATCGAATCAATCCCACGTAATTCAAGCTACATTCAACCGTACATAAAACTGATAAAAAAGATATTTAATCTACTTTATATCAACGGAAAACAGCAAGAAAAAAAATTACCAGTAAAATATACAAAATATACAAAATAAACCCAGGAAAGAAGAAGAAGAAGAAAAAGAAAAAGAAAAAGAAAAAGAAAAGGAAAAGGAAAAGGAAAAGAAAAAGGAAAATAAAATAAAAAGGAAAATAAAAATAAAAATAAAAATAAAAATAAAAAGAAAAAGAAAAAGAAAAAGAAAAAGAAAAAGAAAAAAAGAAAAAGAAAAAGAAAAAGAAAAAGAAAAAGAAAAAGAAAAAGAAAAAGAAAAAGAAAAAGAAAAAGAAAAAGAAAAAGAAAAAGAAAAAGAAAAAAAAAAGAAAAAGAAAATCCAATACCAATACATTTACACTAATCTATACAATTTTTTTCTTTCTTTCTGATTCAGGTGGAGCACCACAACTACACAAGCAGTCTTAAGGTGGCCCGCGTGACAGCCTCAGATGCCGGAACCTACACATGTGAGCCCCACCTGGCCACGCCTGCCAATGTCACTGTGCATGTGGTGACAGGTGAGTCTGGTTGATTATTCGACCTTCGGGATATCTGTCTGTCTGTATCTATATCTACATCTCTCTCTCTCTCTCTCTCTCTCTTTGTATATATATATATATATATATATATATATATATATATATATATATATATATATATATATACATATATATATTTATTTATTTATATATTCATTCATTCACAAACACACACACACACGCGGGCGTGTGTGTGTGTGTGTGTGTGTATCTGCCTGTCTATCTATAGAGGGATAGATTGATAAATCTATCTATTTATCTATCAGATCATCTATATATCCGTATTGTTAGCATTCATCCATCTACCTACAATTAATCAATTAGTTAATCAGTGAATCAACTTATCTATCTATCAGTCAATTAATCAATCAATGACTCCATCCATCTACCCACCTACCTATCTATATATTTTCTTCTTTCATTCTCTCTATCTTTCTACCTACCTATCTATCTGTCTTTAAATCTATCATTCGTCCATCCATCCATCCATCCATCTGTCTATCAGTCTATCTACATACATACACACACATACATAGAAGATATACAGTAATATATATACATATAATATATACACAAGAGGTGCACAGACATACGCTCTGTCGTAGAAAATTTAAATGGCAACGTTCAAGAAGCCTTTAAATTTCTCTTAAGACAACGACATATATATTTTTTTTAACCCCGCGCCCCATCATAACACATCCGTTGGCACGCTTGACTACCTAAGAAGACTTTAATTAGAGAGATCCAGGCGCCACTTAATTAATTTTGTACCAGCGCTCTGTTTTACCCTTTTTTTTACTTCTTTTTTTTAAACTTTATTTTTGCCATTTTTAATGTTTTATCTTTCAACACTTTGGTCTTATCTTAGGTCAAACATATAAAGGTTTTTTGAGTGATTGTTGTGGCGTGTGGAGAGGACAATCGATGTTGTTGTTAAGCGCCTTCGTGGGTTGGCTTCCTCGAAGGGAGAGTGTAAACAAATGGGTCTTTGTCTACAGGTCGTCCTCATTAGCTTTGGGGTGTGTGTCTATGTACATGCACGTATTCGCTCGTGTACATGTACGCACATGAACACATACACATGCACGCACACACATACATAAAAAAAAGCATGTACACACATAAACACATACGCACACACACACACACGTATGTGTCTGCGTGCGTGT